GGGGAAGGGGAACAGACAAGTTATAGTCCTTTTGTTCTTCAGTCTAGTTGTGGAGGACATTGCTTCACTGGCCCATGTTGGTATTGTGATCATTGCGCTCTTCCCGGGTGAGGCAGATCGGTCACCGGCCTCTGGACGGCCGCTCACGGCGGCTCTTGGCAGCTCACGCCGGCTGCCAGCTGCTCATGCTGGCTACCAGCCACACATGGTAGCTCATGGCAGCCCACTGCAGTAGGGGCTGCAGCCTACGCTGTTGCCGGCGACTCATGGCAGCCCAGCTCCAGGTCGAACCATTGTTCACCATCTTAGCTGTAGAAGGCACAGCATCACTGGCCCTCATGTGGGATCCTAACCAGGGCTCTGCTGCTCAGAATTGGCGTCCCAAGCAAGCTCTTAACCAACGCGCCACTCGGCCAGCCCTCTGAGTAATTTTCTGCATTTGAAAATTTTCTGCATATTACTTTGATCTTTATTCCGTGTTCAAATTACTGACAGACACCAATGAAGATAGTGAATTGGGAGGTAATCCCAATGAAACAACTTTCATTAGAATGGTATGTTTTTTGATTTGGTGGAAAACAAAAAGCAAAAATTGCAGAGGTGGATGTTGTTTGTGTTTTTTAAATCAGTTTAAGTTAGCGAATTATATATAACTGTACTAACAATGAGATACCTGTTAAAACCCGTTAGTTCCATGACGGCAGGATTAATTTATGACCTCTTTCCTCTAACATCTGCTGAATATTATTAACTAACTGTTTAAAGGACAATTCAAAATAAATGCAAAAGATTCATAGTGTTTAGTTTAGTAATTTAGATATTTGACAGCTTCTTGTTTCTAATAAATTATGTGGAATCAGTGCTAGTTTTTATAATCTTTGTTTTATTGAAGTATAATAAATACAGTATAACATACAATATATTGAACAAATTTTAAGTGTATAGCTTGGTGAATTTCTACCAAGTGAACACATATTTACAAAGTGAGCACATGTAACCTTTACCTAGATTAAGATGCAGAATAATACCAGGACCCTAGAAATGGCCTCCATAGGTCATATTGTGAGAGTAATCTTTGTCTTCTCTTTTCCAGATAACAAAGCTTTATTTGTCATCTCCATGTCAGACAATGGAGCCCAAATTTATGAACTGGTGGCACAGACAGTTTCTGAAAAGACTGTGTATGTATTAGATATAACTACCTTGCTCTAATATTTTAATATCCTGAATATAATCTTTCACAAACTTAACTTTGTTTCTGTGATAGGACGTTGAAAACCAAAAACAAGCACTTTCTCTATACTCTCTTAGATATATTCTTCTAAGAACTTTTTCCTTTTTAGATTGATGTCTCTCATTTTGATTCTGTTCTAATGAAACTTTTCTAAAGAAAAGATTTCAGAAGGATCAAGTGAAATTTTTAATGGGTAGTAAATCTATTATGATGTTAGGCTTTTCTTTAAGGTATAGAGTTTTAATAAGCTCTACTTAATAATTTTTGCCAAAATAAAGATATTCTCTGCCACGTAGAGTTTTTTTTATTTGTTCGTTTTGTTTGTTTTGGTTTCTGGTTTGTTTCTTTTTATTTTGGTTTTACTTTTGCTTTCTCAGTGTATTTAAAGGACACTTCTTTTTCCTTTCCCTTTTGTATTTTGGGTTCTTTTTAAACTGCCATAGCTGGCAGGACCTAATCTGTCGGATGGCTGCATCAGTGAAGGAGCAATCCACGAAGCCGATTCCATTGCCACAGTCACCACCTTGCGAGTGAGTACCTTTGCCTTGTAGAAGGACTTTGTGTTTTGGGTCAGAAAAGGAATGGTTAATTCTTATATTTTGTTGCAATGTTATTTAGTTACCTCATGAAATTAAAAGATTGTTTTCTTCCTTCTATAGAGGAGACAATGATGAAGAAGAACCTCCAAAATTAAAAGTAGAACATCATGGACATCATGGCATTTCAGTCACTGGTTTACAGAGTCCAGGTAAACTGATCTGTTAAGTTTACCTCAAAGAATTGTCTATATATTACTTATTAAATGCAGAGAAACTTTAAGTCTTTTCGTTTATGCAGTTTCTGGCATTAGCTATTCATTTTAACAGACTTCCTTGTAAGTCTTCTGTGTCCCATTATAACATGCTCTAAGTGTATTTTACTTAAGAAATAATTCCTATAGTTCATGTGATTGTTTTTTCTAAGTATTTCCTGAATGCTTCAGGTTAAAAGTGAAAAGTTTTGTTTGAAATATATTCTGCTTTTTCTGTTCCATTGAACAGACAGAGATTTGGGATTAGAGTCTCCCTTAATGCCGTCAAAACATCAATCTCATTCACTGGGTACCTCTGGGAAATCAGAGGTAGATGATCTCTTTGTGGCTGAGCGACAGTTTGCAAAGGAGCAGCATACAGATGGTACTGTAAAAGGAGTGGGAGTAAATTATCAAATCACAATCCCAGATCCACACTTGCCTGTCTCAGAAGAACGGTGGGCATTGGATGCACTAAGGAATTGTAAGTTTTATTCATAAGATAATACAGATATTTATTAAGTACCAGAATTGTGTAATGTACTATGTAGTCACTTAGGGAGATTCCAAAGAAGAGTAAACTCTGACTTTTCCCTGCATGAATTTTACAATCTAGTTGAGAAGATGATAGAAACTTTGCCCACCTTTTTAAGTTAACAAGCAATACAGGTATGTTAAAAGTGATCTGGTTGAGGTGACCAGAGGATAAAGGCATCAAAAAACAAGAGAAGTGTGATTACTGCCTTGAAAAATGGGTTTCTGATAGGTATTTAGAATAGAAGTCATTCAGACAAGAATAATGGTAGAACCAAAAGCACGGAGGCGGAAAACTCTGAGGGTGTACAGAGAGCAGTAAGTAGACCAGTTGGCCTGTGGTAGACTATGTAAATTACAGGTGTCATGGGAGATAAAGTCAGAAAGGTAGCAGACGTGTTGTTGAGCCCAACCTTGAATACCAGATTGAGTCTTCTGAACTTTAAGGATGGCATGTCATAGTCTTTTGAGGGCAGTTTCAAACTACAAATTATTCTTCTAACATTTTTGTGTAAATTGTAGTATTCTCCACCAGTGTCCATCTCTCTCTCTCTCTCTCTCTCTCTCTCTCTCTCTCTCTCTCTCTCTCACTCACACACACACACACACACACACCCTGAGAGTGGGTAGTGCTTGCCACTCAGCTACCCACCTCCCTCTCAAGCCTGGTTGATAATCACTGTATTACAAATGGGAGTGTACCACATTTCTTAGATGTATTTGGAGATAGGGAAAAGGCTGACAACCATTGCTCTAGCTATAGAGAACCATTTAAAGTTTTGGGGTTTTTTTTGTTGTTTTGTTGGGGTTTTTTTAATGATTTTATTGTAGAATTGGAAATTGGTGAAGGGGAACAGCCAAGTTATTGATTGTCCTTCAGTCTTAGTTGTGGAGGGCGCAGCTAGGTCAGCTCCAAGTCCAGTAGCTATCCGGCTGCCCGTCGGCAGCTCAGGGTAGCTCAGCTCAAGGTGCCGTGTTCAGTGTTAGTTGCGAGTGGGCGTAGCCCACCATCCCATGCAGGAGTCCAACCGGCAACCTTGTTGTTAGGAGCACACGCTCTGACCAGCTGAGCCATCCTGCCACCTGTTGGTAGCTCAGCGGCAGCTCAGCTGGGCACAGCTCACTGCCCCATATGGGAATCGAACCGGCGACCCTGTTGCTCAGAGCTCATGCTCTTAACCAACTGAGCCACTTGGCCGACCCATTTAAAGTTTTTAAGCTAGGTTATGACTAATAAAAAAAGATTAATTTGATTGAGAGCTGTGAAAGGATTTAAATGGAAAGAGGTTTGGAGTGGTACAGTTATTATTAAGCTGTTGTAGAAGCTTGGCTTGAGGCAAAAAGGGTTTAGCTAGAATGGTGTCAGAGGGGTCAACAAATACTTAAAACCATTGACTTGTTTGGATATGAGGGCAAAGGAAAGGGGATATTTAGAGATAATTTCAGTACTTTTGTCAGAAATAAAAGTCAGAAAGGACCGCCACTATAACATTTTTTTTCCTTTTTTTTATTTGCCAGAGATTATAGGCTCAATTTTATTACTTTTTTTTAATTGGGGAATTGGGGGAAGGGAACAGACAAGTTGCTGTCCTTTTGTTCTTCAGTCTAGTTGTGGAGGACATTGCTTCACTCGCCCATGTTGATATTATCATTGTGCTCTTCCCGGGTGAGGCAGATCGGTCACTGGCCTCTGGACGGCCATTCACAGCGGCTCTTGGCAGCTCACACCAGCTACTAGCTGCGCACACTGGCTGCCGGCCATACACAGTAGCTTATGGCAGCCCACTGCAGCAGGGGCTGCAGCCTATGCCATCGCCGGCGACTCAAGGCAGCCCAGCTCCAGGTCGAGCTGTTGTTCACCATCTTAGCTGTAGAGGGCAGTGTCACTGGCCTTCATGTGGGATCTGAACCGGGGCCCTGCTGGTCAGAGCTGGTGTCCCAATCCAGCTCTTAACCAACGCGCCACTCAGCCAGCCCTATAGACTCAATTTTAAAACACATTGACCTTAAGATAATGGCAAGCCATTTAAGAGGAAGTGATGAGCAGGAAGTTGGAGTTTAAGCCTAGATCTTTGGAGAGAGGTGGATTTAAGTAATAAGCTATAAGACTTCAGAGCATCTCTAGGGAAGTGAATGTAAAACAAAAAGAGGCCAAAGACTCTGACCTGTGTGGAGAAACAAGTAGAAATTTAGCCAGAGTTAAAAGTAGGGACTTGGTCAAGTTCTTTAAAACCTAATTAATTCTAGAGTCTCCTGAATTAACAATCATAATGATTTCCTTTTTTATAATTTTTATAATTTTTTTAAAATTACAGTTGACATTCACTATCATATTAGTTTCAGATGTACAACATAGTGGTTAGGCATTTATAAATACAATTAAAATTTCTGATGGTTTCACTAACCTTGTTGCGGTAACTTTCATTGTGTGAGTGACCTCACAGCATACACTTACCCATTCAAAATTAAATTGGTTCTATTTTTAACAACCTAGGGAAGCTATGCCATGAGTAAGGTCATTTATTAAAAACTAATAAATATTTCTTTATCTTTTGAAATTATACATGCTACCAAATCATTAGAATTAAATTTTATTAAAAAGAAGTTGCTTCTTCACCATTTAAGGAGATTCTTTAGGTTATTATAAATGATAAAATAAGTGTTCTGCTTGTCTAATAAAATTAGAAAAAAATAATGCCTGTGTATACAGTGTCTGCTTTTGGAAAAATACAGCTTTTAGGGGTTTTTTTTTTGTCTAACAACACAGCTTTTCAACATTCTTTTAAGAAATACCTTGTGATACTTTAAGAAGTACAAGTTATATGGAAGAAAAAATAGAGGGAGACATGGAATTGGTTATTTAGCAGTTCTAAATAGGAGTGCCTCCTCATTAAGAATACCTAGTTCTTTTCAAGTCTAGTTTAATATTAAATCTTCTCTAAATGGTGCTTTATTTTCATTTTTCAAATAAAAAAAATGATTGTATACAATTAATATATTGACTATATGTTACTAAAAAGGCACTTAATTTTAGAGATAATTGATCATTCCACTAACTATGGCAGTCTGAGCTTATAGTTGTAAATACGCATTTTTTTTTTCCCTCTCCTTCCTTAATTTTTTAGTGGGTTTGTTGAAGCAGTTGCTGATACAAAGGCTGAGTTTGACTGAGAAGAGCACTCAGGAAGACTGCCCACATTTCTCAAGATACAGGACAGCCTCCCCAGGGGTGCAGACAGACAGTGGAACCCAGAACTTTGAAAATACTAGGGTCTGTCATCCTGGTGAAGAACAGATGCCCTTTAGAACTGGAACTGGTGTCATTTCAACTTGTTACAGTCCACAGACTTCAACTGAATCTTATGCTCCACGGGATTCAATGGTACTGGCATTCCAAGATAGCCAGGCAAGTAACATTTTAGTAATGGACCACATGATTATGACCCCAGAGATTCCTCCTGCAGAGCCAGAAGGAGGTCTTGATGAGAGTGGAGAGTGCTTTTTTGATGCCCATGAAGCACATAGTGATGATAATCCATCAGAAGGTGATGGAGCAGTTAAAAAGGAAGAGAAGGATGTTACTTTATGCATCTCAGGCAAGTTCTTTCACATTTAAATTTTTATTTTGATTGTTGTTAACTGTCCTGTGTGTTGAAATTGACGTTTGGGTTTGCAAGCATTAGTGTGTGTGTGTGTGTATTTGTGTATTTGTGTGTGTGTGGTATTTATTCTTTCATGCACTAAATAATTATTGAGTCTATGCCAGACCCCATCTTAAGTGCTAGGAGACATAGCATTGAACAAACACATAAAAATCCACGATTCTCATGAAGCTTAAGTGCTAGTAAGGAAAAGAGTAATGGTAAATAAGTAAACAACTAAATCAATGTCAGGTAGTAAGAAGTATTAGCAGGAAAAATAAGTTAGACTAAGGGGCAGCAGAAAATAATGGGGGCAGACAAGGTGATCAGCGAAGAGGGCCTTTGCTGGGGTAGCATTTGAGCAAAGATCCAAGGGAAGAGAAGCTACATGTGGGTATCAGGAGGCAGGATAGTGCATGGGCTGTGAGGCAAGAGCAAGCTCTTTGTGGTTAAATAATACAGGGTGAGGGAGAAAATGAGAAAAGATGAGACAAGAGAGGTATTTGGCAAGAGAAGAGTTGGAGAGATCATATAGGGACTTGTAGTTTTCAGCTTTTAACTTTTAAAATGTTGACTAATGTGAAATTACTCAAAAATTACCATGAAGTTTGCTAAGTTTAACTTGAACCCAAAATGAGAAAATTCTGATGTACTTAAAACTAAACTTGGGAATTTGGAAATTAATTGCTTTCACCCCTCTTTAATAGCTTTTAAAGTTGTCAATATATCAACCTATCTCTATTTTCTGATGTGCTTATAGCAGTACTAATCTCATCAAACTGTTCTGTCTCTATCAATAGGAAACTATTTGATCCTTGATGGCTATGAAGCAGTGCAGGAGAGCTCCACAGATGAGGAGGTTGCATCCTCGCTTCACCCGCAACCCATGACAGGCCTCCCCTCTATGGACTGTACCCACCAGCAGCAACATTCTCCCCAGAATGCTCATCCTGATGGGGCAGTTTCACCATTCACCCCAGAATTCCAGGCCCAGCAGCACTGGGGAGCTATGGAGGACTCCTGTTTTGAGATCCAGAGTCCCTCCACTTGTGCAGATTCACAGAGCCAGATCATGGAGTACATTTGTAAGATAGAGGCTGACCTTGAACACTTAAAGGTACCTCAGACTTCAATGTTCTTAGGACTTGGTTATATGAAACACATTTAACAGAGAGGAAGTACAGAATGATTGAAATGCTGATGCTAGTAAACTTGTTCAGGTTCTAAATTTGTATGTTTTCTTTGACCAATATCCATGAAAAGGCCAGAATTTTATTTTATTTTATTTTATTTATTTTTAAATTTTTATTGGGGAACAGTATGTTTTTCCAGGACCCATCAGCTTCAAGCCAAGTAGTTGTTTCAATTTAGTTGTGGAGGGCGCAGCTCAACTCCAAGTCCAGTCACCGTTTTCAATCTAGTTGGGGGGGTGCAGCCAACCATCCCATGTGGGAGTCGAACCAGCAACCTTGTTAAGAGGACGCACTCTAACCACCTGAGCCATTCGGCTGCCCAGCGGCAGCTCAGCAGCAGCACAGCTCAGTCATTGTCTTCAATGTAATTGTGGAGGGCGCATCTCACTGACCCATGTGGGAATCGAACCGGCTACCTTGTTGTTCAGAGCACGCGCTCTAACCAAGTGAGCCACCGGCTGCCCCAAAAGGCCTGGATTTTTAAAAGCTGAGATCAGCATTGTTTATCTGGTTACAAATCGCAAGAACAGAAAAAGTTGTAGCTCTATAAACTGTGTTTGTATGGGTTTCCAAGTATAAGAACCTAAATATATTTGGGATGATTGGCTCGCCACAATGAGAAGATGTGAACAATAGCTGAGATAGGTGGGATGTGTGTAATTATAAAGCGAGGCTGGGAAGTGCTGTACTCTATTAATTATCTGTTAATTATCAGGTGATATTATCAGTAGTTTTCCAGATTTCTGTGAAGATAGAAATTGGCTCCAATGGCTCCCATAATCTAAAAACCTGGGCACGAATGGGGGTTTTATAAATTTGTAGATGAAGATCTCACTGTACTAGCCTCTGTTTCAAAACTAATGTATTTGGTAATTTCCAAGAAAAGGACTTTATTTTAAAGTTTGCCATCAGTAGACACAGCTACTAGAGCCCAAATGTTTTTTTTCATGACATCATTCAGTTGGAGGCTTTAGTGACAGTGTTAAAAGTATTCTTAGCCTTTTACCCAAAGGTTGGTCTCCGTTAGTTTTTCTTTTAACTTCATATGATAGGTTTTCCCTTCTTCATTTGATTATATGTAGTTGCATCCTATGGCTGATGAGATGAGATATCTAAAAGGCCATTGTGGACAGGTTCGCTCTAATATAGTTCATACCAAATGTGGGACCGTTTTCAGGATGACTCCTGGGGGTGGGAGAATCACCTTTACCAGTTGTTCTTTCCTCTGTTTTCTTTTTACATGGGAAAGTTTTAAGTTATTCATTCAAGGCAAAAACAGGTAAAAGGAATGAAATTTACTTTTTCCCCCACTAACAAAATTTTAATGAAGTTTATGTTTAAATTTGGAAGCATACCTGTAATATATTTAAAAAAAAACACCAAAAAACACTTCTTTCCTAGTTTCAAGAAAAACATTTTTATAATGTTTATATGAAAAATCTATGGATTTTATTTTACAGAAGGTGGAGGAAAGTTATACTATTCTTTGCCAAAGGCTGGCCGGAGCAGCCCTCACAGACAAGCACTCAGGTATGTGAAAGTTGTGGATTCCAGACTCTAGCATCATCCTGCCTGAACAAGTAGATTGGTTGAAGTAATTTCTTATTCTTTAAAGTGGAAACCTTGTAAGATACCTTTTCTTCTGTCTTTACAAAACTGTTGCTTTCCAAATATCATGCAGAAGCTGTTGTTTGCTGTCTCGTCTCTTCCTTTTCTAAGAGGAACTGTATTTGTCAGTTGCCATGCTACCCCCTCTTCTCTGTCTTCTTCATTTTTGCAAAGCAAAAGGTAGAGTGGTGGTAAGCCTGGTAAATCCTAATTTCCCTATGAGATTTACCAGTGCTGCTGTGACTGCTTAGCGGTAGAGGCTTGGTCTACCTCAGGTCTTGCGTCTCACTGTGACTGCAAGTGGATCTGTGTTCAATGAAACAATTTGTATTCATTTGCTTACAGGCTCTGAGATGATGCTGTTCTGATATAGAAACAAAAATATAACTATGCCCACAGATTTCATAGGTATTCTCTAAATGTTATTTTGTTCTTCTTGATTTGATCCCTACATATCTTTATTATTCCCAGATAAAAGTTAGAGCTACGTGTCCTGGAGGTGACTGAAGGTTTTCGGATTTTGAGCATCGGCCTTGTATCAGCACATCCTGGCTCCAGTGTGGACGAAGAGAGAGTGTGACAGAGGATCTGCCTGTGAAGCCCCTGGGGTTCGCCATGTGTCCAGGGTCCCAGAGCAAGACTAATTCTTCACAGTCTGGCAGCTGCACTAGTCTGTCAGTGAGGGAATATCCATTCTCTCACTCTGCTCTCTATTAGAAATTCATTTTGATTCAGAACAAAAACCAAATGTATAGAGCTTTGGGTTTAGGATATGAAATTTTACTTAATCATAAGAAAACAAGAAAATCGATATATTTATTTGACTTCATTCCATATTTGATAGCACATTTTAATTTTTATTTTGCGATGTTTTGTTTTAATTGACTAGTGAGAGTCAACTAGCCCTTTGTGTTTAGTACACCCAAGGATCAACTGCTCCTAAAGCAAAGAGTTTAAGATGGGGTATTAGGAGGTTGGGTAGAAAGGTGAAGAAGAGAAGGAAATGAGAAGGGGACAGAGGAACATCCAATCTTTATTAAATTGTATCCCATGTCCTCTGCTGTCCACTAGGCTGCTTTTCTGATGGTCACCTCAAAGGCATAGTATGTCTGTAGCTCCTGTGTGCAGAGGGCTTCACCTATGTGCTTCCCAGGTGAGCAGTGAGAAGGTGGGCTTCCTCCCATCTGAGACAAGCACCTCTTTTCTACCTGGGATCAACCCCCAGTTAACAGGAATCCTCAATGTACTAAATAGCAGGCACTTGAAAATGGGTATGTTTTCTTCTGTCGTCGTCTTTTCTATTGAGGGTTGGGATTTGGGAGGGAGAGAAAAGCAAATTTTATTTTCTTGACTATAAATTTGTTATTCTTGATATCGTTTCATTTTTATAATTATACATTAGACTTTGGCACTTGTGTAAAATTATTCCTGCAGATTGAGCAGGAAGTAAAAAAAAGGGGGGGGATGCTTCAGATGGTGGCAGGGTTGGGGGTTGCTGAGCAAGGGTGGGATGGGATCGGGTAAAAGAGTTTGGGAAGGTTATCTAACTGAATCACTACTGAGTTGAACAGTGGCTATCATTTGCCATAGGTACTGCTGATTATAAGGCCAGTAAAATTTTAGTACCTGGAGGTTTGACTCTAATTTTTGCACTGATGGTGCCAAAGGGCTCTTTGAGTTAAAAGGAGAGCCAAGAGTGGAGTGGAGAGAAGGCAGAGCGGTTCAAACCAGCTCCCGAAGCACTTCCTCTGACTTCACTGCTGGAACTTTTTCCACACTGGTGCCTGACTGACCTTAAAAATTGCAGACCAGAACATACACTGGATACTGCAGGCAAGGTGTTGGGGTCACTGCCTGCTGTAGAATGAATACTAGTGTTGGCAGCACCCTACAGAGGATAAATGTTTCAGAATTATAACTTGAGAACTCCTTCAATTATATTGGTTTTCTGTGGTTTTCTTTGTGCATCAAGTATATATGCTTTGAATTTGTTTTGCCAACTAAAACTAAATCATTTGTCAAATCTTAAAATTCTGTTAATATGAAGGAGTTCATCTACTGCTCTTATAGTGCCCTCTGACTGCTCTGTGGGTAGTCAGCATATAATTTTATTCTTCCCTGCAGTCCAGTGTGTGTGTGTGTGTGTGTGTGTGTGTGTGTGTGTGTGTGTGTGTGTATGTGTATGTGTATGTGTACACACACTCATAATAAATGTTAAGGATTTCCAATTACTTTTAGCAACACCACTACATCTTAACAAGCTCACCTATATCCAGATTCCTGTTTCTGTCTTCACAAAACTGATCTATGTTTTTACGTAGACTGATCAACTTGGATCATTGGACCTCATCTATAGAGTTATATTTTGGGTTATAGACCAAGTATAAATTAAATCACAACAGGATTAAAAATTTTAGAAGCAGAGGCTAATATATAAGTGGAATTTGAACTTTGTGTATCTTTTAAGAGAAGAAAGTAGAAACCAAAGGGTTACATTGTGCTGCTGGAAATAATGTAGTCACACTGTCAACTAAAAGGGTTTCATCTGTAGCCACTTGACACTAATACCATCAATGGGCAGTTAATCAGGAAGAAGGTAAATATAAATAGAACTTTCATCTTAACTTCAGACACTACAGTAAAATCGCCTAATTCTCTAGCACTCTTCCAGGAAGCTTTATCGATTTAGCAAAGTTTATGTTTCTCTTCTAGTTCAGTCAATATCTTGTCCTTAGCAACTATTTGCTTTTCTTTTCCTGAAGTTTAACCTTTCCTTGGAACAACAACAGGGCTAACTGGAAAAATACTTTGACCATAGCTCTGGTACTATCAAATAAATTTATATCTAGATTTTCCATTGAAGCCCCAAAATGAAGTCTAATTATGAAAATAACCTAAAATTTTGAGTGTTTTTTTTTTTTTTAATCTTACTTAACATCTTCCCTTCTCCTTCCCAGCCTGGCCTCCTATGTCTTCCATTTCATTTAGGCCATTATAATTACATCCATTTTACTTCGATACTATATCTCCCTTTCAAGATAATGGAGTTAGATACTCATCCTGTCCTTCAGTGGAACTAGTTACCATCGAAGTCATTTTAGTTAAGTAATGAGATGTTGAAATCTACTTCCATACGTAAGAATCCAAAGGTAGTGGACAAAGCAGCCTTTCCAGAGCAGGAGAGCAGGGGTTTAGCTATTGAAGTGACCTACTGTGACCCTGTGTTCTCTCCTTTGGGCCTAATGGCTCCTTTGCTATTAAGTGGCAGATTACCGTATTTCCCCATGTATAAGACACACCCTTTTTCAAAAAATTTGGGGTCTAAAAACTGGGTGTGTCTTAACAGTGGTTGTAGATTTTTTTAACTTGTATTTCCCGCTTTTTTCGTGCTTGTTTTTGTGCTCATACAACCACTGTATAAGACGCACCCAGTTTTTAGACCCCAAATTTTTCGAAAAAGGGTGTGTCTTATATATGGGGAAATTAGAGTGTCTCCTTCCTTTTCAGAGAACAGAGTTAATCAAGGCAATTAGTAAACACAGAAGTGCTGTAATTTAAAATATTGATTACTGCCCTAGAAGCTTCATATTTTACATACTTTAAAATAAGCTAATTTGGACCACTTGAGTTATTTTGGCTCTTAGATCCTAAACTGTATTCTATTACACTGCATGAAGTGTATTTCACAAGCTTTCTTGCTCCCCTCACCCCCACCCCCAAACAACTAACAACTGTTAGAAAGGATGAGTTTCTTTTAAAAAGTTTTTCTATTTGGTTTTGTGTGTGTGTGGGGGGGGGGCTGTTAATGTGATAGAGCAGAAAAGTCCATTTTTTTTTTCTTATTTTTAGAAGCTAAAGAAAATAATGTGCTTCCTGGGTTGTCTTTTATTTACTTTCTTTTCTTTTTGATGATAAATTTGATGTGTTAGATGGAGCTTCTGTATTTCAAACTGGAAGCTGTCTTCTCTGAAGGTGGTATATGCTGTTATTTTGAGCTACTAGAGCTTTGGTCAATATTTTCTATCCTGTATGTCACAGAAGGCACCATTGAGAACTGTGCACAGAGAACCTCAAAATAGACAATTAGGAGACCTTCCAGTCATCTTTTTGCAGGCTGCTGTTTACCCCTAGTATTGTAATTTTTGTTTTGTAAATCATATTTTTTCCCTCCCTCTTTGCAAAGTGATCTACAAAAATGTTCTTTCCTCAAGAAAAGAATTCCTTTGCTTCATTCCTTATGCCTTCCCCACTGGTACTGATGGTTTTGATAATAAATTGGTAGTAAAAAAATGTACCTCCTAAAAGGAAGCTGTTCCCGCCATTACCAGGTGCCAACGGCTAAGCAGATGTACTGCAAAAATAACTGAAGTGGACACTGTTGGTTATTTTTAATAAGCCTCTTCCTACTAGAATATTTTGTTTTCTTTGTTCACCATACAATCATGTACTCTTTAACATAAATTACTTTTAAAAATCTGGAATTATCTTCAAAAACACTTGATTAATCATGTATTTTTACTGTTCACATTTTGAAATACCTAAAAAAACTTTATTGCTCTAATTATCCAAATGTACCTTTGTAAAATAGATCTTTTATGAATTAGTTGGTAAGTCTGTATGTTTCTGGAACAAAATATTGGTGATCTAAAAACTTTGTTTTCTGGGGTCTGGGAAAATAGAAAATGAGAGTTCAAATATTAAATATGCTTAAAGGAACCAAGTATGTGACTTTTTATTTGTATTCTTGTTCGTTTGTCTTATGCAAGTTATATTGGAAAAGCTTAGGTGCCAAGGAGACCTTAATTAATCTTACTGGCAGTGACTATCAAATGTCTTCCTGCTTATTTGAGCATCTGTACTAGTAAGACTAGCCAGTTGATCTATGTAATGTATGAACTTCCCTGAGGACACTAGCAGCTGGGATTGCCCCATCAGCAGCAGCACTTCTGTTGTTATCATAAACAGCTTTATTGAGATACAATTAATGTATTATACATTTCACTCATTTAAAGTGTGAATCAATAATATTGGTAAATCAATAATATACCAAAATCAATTCAGTGATTTTGGTATATTATAGATTTTTTTAAATTGTGGTAAAATATATGAGGTCTGACAATTGAGTTTGCAAACTTGTCACTGTGTGCTTACATTGGCAGCACTGTACAAACAGCTCAGTAAGGTTTCATAACCTTGGGATATCAGTGTTTCACAGCTGTGTTCATGTCAACTTGTGGTGGTGTTTTGCTGAGTGGTGTTCATTATTGCGTGTTTTTATGTGCCGTGGCAAGAATGTCTGGGCTTGAATTAGAGCAAGGAACAAACATTAAATTCCTCATTAAACTTGGCAAGAGTGGAAGTGAAATCATGGACATGTTAGTCCAAGTTTATGGGGATAATGCCATGAAGAAAATGGCAATGTACAAATGGATTAAATATTTTCACTGATGAACAGAGGTCAGGGCAGCCAGTAATGAGCAGAACTGACAAAAACATTGCAAAAATTCATCAAATTGTGCATCAAAATTGTCAGCTGACTGAGAATCATAGCAGACCAAGTAAACATTGATAGAGAAACAGGAAAATCTTGGCATGAGACAGATGTGTGCAAAAATGGTCCCAAAGGAGCTCACTGATGAACCAAAAGCAAAGGAGAGTCGAAGTTTGCCAACACTTTGGAGAAGCAAGATGGTGTTTTGGGCCATGAAATCACTGGTGATGAAACATGGGTGTA